CTGAACACCTCAGTCTTTAGGCCACCACAACCTGTGCGACAGACGAGGATATGAAGGGAGGCCACCTGGTTATTCTTTTCCTCCTTCATCGTAAATTGTATGTCCGGGGACACGCTATCGAGACGTTCCTTGAAAATGAGCATCCGATCCCGTTCGATGACGACAAAGATGTCATCCATATACAACGCCCGTAGTTATGTTAGAGTTATATTGTGATTTCAGAATGCTTCCAGCTGAGCATAATGCTACAAAAGGACAGCTTCGACAACTGATGTGAGTGTGTTCAACTGCCATGGCGCAGTAGGACATATTCAGGTGAATTTAGGCTCTGTCACTTTTTCAGGGGTAGAGGCGCAGTTTTTCGTAGATGAAAAATGTAAACGTTAAACATAAACGTTTACAGCCAATTTGTTCGCGCAACTGCGGACGGGATATCGTTGAGCGCTGTTGTGGTTCGAAGTAATTAGCATGTTATACTTTAAATAGCAATAACTTTCCGCATTTTAATCGTTGCAGAAACCGAAATGCATTTCGGGTTCGACGACTGTCGAGGTGAAAATATTTGCGCAAGTAAAGAGCGACTGCCCATATTGCAAAGGGTATACTTTACCAAAGCAAATTTTCTTTTTTATTTACTAACAGACGTAATCCTTCGTTATTTTATTAACTATGCGCACTGGATGTAAGTGAGCAGTCTGAGCAGTGTTGCGACCGTTCTTGCCACTTTACATGTCAGCCAGGGCGACGACAAAGCCCGTGAATAATAAAGCAAAAACAGGCAGTGTGGAAAGGCGATCAACAGTTCCAAACTGCTACCCAAACCCTAGATGAAAGCCAAGAATTGAACTTCATGAACACAGGGATAATGTCGGGAGCTAGTTATAAGACGGAAAGAGAAATACCGAAGGCCTCTAACTCCATCAAAAGACATGTTGAAATACCTCCTGCTATCACACCCTTCGTTCGTACGACCAAGAAGCGAGCCAGTTCCCAGGCAAGGGCGCATGCCGTAAGGAAGACGTGAGACGGCGGGGCGCGGACCTTACCTACCATGAACGCTAAGCCCTACCGTCACCTTCCCCGCCCTATTTTTTTCTGGTAGCTGCAATATAAAACATCTATTTTTACTGCGCCCTCATTGTTTCTAAAGGTGGCCTCTTGTACGGAGCCGAACGCTTAGACTTATGCAAGGACTGTTCCAGTGATCGCGCGCGTATCTTTATTGCTTCATATATAGTGAAAACATGCGGTACTGAGAGACGTTATAATGATATCCCTTTGGTTTCACTCATAACTCCTAAGTATTACCATACCCCTGTAATGCTTCATGTTAAGTTCTTTTCCTCTGATGAAGATTTGCTTAAAGAATGTTTACCAAATTGACTTCTCAAATTAATCATAAGAATATTCGCAGAACTAAGACAGTCCAAAGATCCCTTGGTGTTAAAGGAAGTCAACGGATTCCTCAAGTTTGACATCAGGTTTGCTGAGGCAAACTTGACAGCCAAATTCCTCGCAGGATGAATGGACCGGGGTGTATATTCGAGAAAGTACTGGAAAATATTACGAAAAAAACATATCGCCGTTTTGTCGGCCACGCTAAGACGACATGCGGAAAAAGGGAGTGGCGTTTGAAGACTATGTGCAAACAATTAGTAACAAAAGATTCAAAGCCAGTTGGACCAAACTGCTTCGAATTTTCCAACCAATAAAAGCGCCGAAAACCCTCTTAAATAATCCGCAGCAGTAAGTGCATAACTATTCTTCAGTAGGTCATGAAAAAACTCTTTAAGAGGCCCTAAGTTCTGCATTCCACGCAAAAAACCGAAGCAACTAGAATCAGAAACCGAATCTAAGAGCTTTGTTATCCAGACGGCCGATCTAAAATATACCAAGCCTAGAGAAATTGACTATCTCAAGTCGACGCTGGTGAACTGCTGCCAGCAGTACTTAAGAAAGGCTGCAACAAACAAAGATCCCTTAACAAAGGCTCATCTGGATAGCCTAATGGAAGTCCGAAGAAATGAAAACATCGTGCTGGCCAGACCAGACGAAGGGTCCGGAATAGTACTGATGAATAAGAATGATTATGTCGCGAAACTAGAAGCTATCCCAGCAGATCGTACAAAGTTCTCAAAATCCGAGAGTGACAAAGATCGGACAGAGGCTGTCGAGGGTCATGTAACTAAAATTCTCAAAGACCTCCACAAAGATGGTCTTTTGTCTGACAAAGAGCTTGAAAGATAGAGACCTGTAGACATGGCGATACCCAGAATGTATGGCCTTTTTAAAATTCACAAACAAGGGTTGCCCTTGTATCCTATCTCGGAAATAAGAAACTCCCCTTGTCACACCATTGCCAAATTGCTGGTAGAAAACTTGAAGCCACTTGGAAGTGACCTATATCCTCGAAGCTTGAAAGACACATTTGAGTTTTTTGAAACTATAAAGAATATGAACGTTGGTGCCAGTAAGATGCTCTCAGTGGATTTATCATCAAATTTTTCCAACGAACCCGTGGTAGAAACCAGTAACTACCTCTGCGATGTCATTCGGGACACGAACTACCAGACAGGTGTGCCCGTGGAAACCCTCAAAGAGCTACTTGTGCGATACACGCAAACTGCTCAATTTCTCTGCAATGGTCGGTTTTACAGACAGATAGATGGTATGGCGCTGAGCCCACCACTTGGCCCGTGTCTCCCAAATGACTTTATGGGCAAGATTGAGAAAACGAATCTAAGAGACACCATTAATGACATTGCATTTTACGGTCGACATCAGGATGATATCTTCCGTTTGATAGAATATAACGCTGACACTGACGCCCTGGTCGCGAAGGTTAACAGCACATACCCATCGCTCAAATTTTTCTGCAGAGACAGAAATGGACGATTAAATTGCTTTCCTTTATGTCCTTCTACGATGGCAAGATTATGGATCTATCCTGCGTAGGGTATTTCGAAAGAAGAGCTGGACGGGACAATACACCAACTTTCACAATATAAAACGAAATCTATTCCGAAGATTAACAGCTAGAGTACGACAGACCTGTTCTCGTGAAACTGAAGAAGCGGAACTCCAACAGCTACAGCACACACTGATTGAAGATGGATACCCGGAAAGGTTTATACGCAGGAATATTGGCAAACGCGCCAAAATCCTGCTACCTTAACCGCAGAAAAGGATGACGTGTTCATAAGACTGCCCCTCTTAGGCGATGCAACAAGCGAACTGGTCAGACCACGCCTGAGGACCGCAATCGCAAGCACTTTAACCGTGGCGAACTTATGGGCGTTCTTCACGAACTCTCCCCTCCTACGATTGGGAGGTAAAGACCAACTTCGCTGAAGGCCGCATCCATGTGCATTGACCATTTCCCTTGCTCCTGTAAAGCAGGATAAATCGGCCGAACAACGAGGTGTTTAGAAAAGAGAGTAAGTGAGCACATACCGGCCTGGTTAAGTAAGGGTGAAACTAGGTCGATTTTGAGTTATTTTGTTGCACATCTTGTCGCTAGGAATCATCGAGACGATTCGAACGAAGCCTTTCAGGTTGTCTATCGGACACAACTAACGTTTTCAAGGGCCTCCGCCAACGGTTGCTAGCAACAGCCGAAGCAGTGGATATACGGCTAGAGAATCCAGTGCTGTGCAGTCAGAAGAGGTTGACAAAAGCCCTTGCACGTCCGTGACCGACCCCGACGCCAGGTGGCGATTGCATTTCGTTCCCACACCCTAGTGACAGTCGTTGGCTTCGTGCAAATAGCAGAAATGATCACACCATGTATTCGACCTCTGATCAACTCTTATAACCTTACCCTATTCCCTACCTTTCCCCCTTCCCCCTCCCCAGAGACATGAACATCTACACAACGACGTCGCCATGTTGGCGGCGTGCAAACGATAAATGCAGGCGAGGAGCCAAACCGAATTAAATAAACAGTGAGCTGTACATATTTTCATTCCTTGACAGTGGGCTCGCGGGAGGGTTGGAAACGTCGAACAAGTAAATCCCTAGTCCCAAAGGACGTTTTACCTTCTTCTATTCATTTACCTTAGCCTCGCATATTCTCGACCATTCAAACGATGAATTGTAATCAGACTACCCTTATTAAACCTTTCCAACTGTACAGTTTTCTTTACCCCTGAAAATGTCTTGGCCTGATGAAGATTTGCTTAAAACATATGTTTGCAAACTTGACTTATCAAATATACTTTAGTTTGAAATCAACTGAACCTTAGCTTCTTGGTACGGCCTGCAGAAAGTGCGTATAGTGCATAAAATCACGGTTTAAAATTCAGGAAAACCGTATTTGAAAGGCTTACTAGGTGTTTGAATAAGGCGTGAGCGTAATGCCGAATCCTATAGCAGAACCTGCAAAATTGCGTTACGAAAAAGGAAACGCTGCACTAAAATGCACTTCTAGACATTTCGCAGCAACTGCATGCAAGCCGGTGTCTGTCTGCAAAGGTCATACAGTTTCTGGTCATCCTGCAGCACCACAAAAGGGGCAGAAAAAATAGAACGCGTTATTTGCTGTCGCATAGTCTCGCGGCTAAGAAGAAGCTGGCGCAACCGCTGGAAAAAAAAACAATTATATTCGTTTGATGCTCTAACTCGTCACCAGATAAAGCGTAAATTAGACTCAATGAATGCATCTCTCCCTATAATTAGGTGAGTCTAGTAGTCATTCTGATGGACTCTAGATGGCTTGCTTGGGAAATCCTGCCTGGGCAGCCAGCTTACTGTATCCGTAATGGTGGATGTCAGACGAGCAGTAGGTTTGGCGGGTAAAATCGATCCAAGTGTGATTAAATTAACGGCTCATGGAGAGCCTTGTAGCTCACTGGTAGAGCGTTGGTTGCGGAAAAGCCTCTTCTGCCGTGGGGATTCGA